CATCAAGGCTAAGAAAACATTAGACTCCTTCGAACCCATGGCCTACTAATAAAAATTTTTGGCTATTTTAATCAAGAAGGTAAGCGCAGCACCTGAACATCAAATTTCGCTACATGATGTCGAAAGATATACTAGAGGCTTCAAGCATAGACTTTCTCCCTTGGTTGTAATGAGTTTTACTGAGACCAAGACATTTGCACAAAAACCGAAGACAAAGAAAAATCTATCTATAAGAAGGCTCAAAAGTAGAAGAGCTGAAATCGAATTTTTCGGATTCAACGACCAAAGGTAGACAATTGATTGTTTTAAAGTTCTGTCTATTTACAAAAAAAAAAAACTTAAAAGAATTAAAAACATTACTCGTATTCTCCAAGCTTGGCTCTTTCATACAAAAAAAATATCAAAAATCAATTCGATGTCACTGTATTGAAAAATAGGTTTTCATATTCTTTCAAAGACATGTGCATTTCTGATTAATTAAAACGAAAATAACAATTTGATTATAACAACGATTATTTTCTTTGTGATTACTACCTTCGGAAGAAATATTATTCAGACTATCTTCAACTGTAGCATTATTATCATTTTCTCTTTTTGAATGTTTCTATTCTTTCACCAGTGTTGTTAATGTGTTAGCATTTCTTGTCTGTTCAATCGATGAAGAAAATAATACTCTTAACTTAGCGGTGATATATTCTAACGTATAAATAAAAAAATGATTTGTTTTATTAAAAGCTACGTCCAATGATTACTGTACTTTGAATTTAAGACCATCTCACATTGTGCACAAAATGCGATGCTAAGAGAAACTAGTGGCTAGTAGTAGTAGTTTTTCTCAATCATGATAAATGAAACCGTAGTAGAAATTCTGAAAGCATTGCGAGAATGAAAATCGAAAAAAGTCGTTCCTACAGGACATTGTCTTCAGCTCGCTTCGGAACCGTTACCAGACGATCGTCACCATCCTAAAAGACACATTTGGTGGGCCGAGCTACTTCGAACTATTTTTTCTGGTTATGCCATTATCACACAAGTGAATATGATAAGAAAAATGTTCTGTAGAATTCTGTCCTACCAACAGAATGAGACATCCGCCGTGAAGCAGTGCAAAAATTCCTTTCTTTCGGTGTTTTTTTGTTAGATTATTACTCGTGGTACATGGTTCATGGCATTTTTTACATGAAGCTCAAACTAAATTGTTACCGAATACGATCGATTCATCATCAACTATTAATCAACAAGCAAGTCTTAGTGTTGGTTTAGTAGTAAAAAAATATTGGAATAAATTATTGCACTTAATCACCATACTTCAACAGCATGAGGTTCGACCCGATAATATTACGGGATAGACTAGGGCTTTTTAATCAACAATTTATAATCAATTTTTCATTTTTAGACTAATCGTAAACGATCACATCACACAACATCATCAATACGATCAAAATCAAATCTAAATACTGAAAAACATTGTCAAACAATTGAAACATCATTGGGTCCATGTTCAACATGTATTCAATTTCAACAATATCTTCATAATTATAGTGAAAGTATGATAAATCTATGTCATTTATATAGTCTACCATCATCTCTTGCACATTATCGATGTTCAACATCACCAATATCTGAATCTATATTACCATTAAATGATATTAATCATTGGTTTGATTCTCAATCAAAAGATTTTGATCATCTATCAAAGCATCTTGAATATTTAAATAATACATTAAATAAAACCAAAAATGATTTAGATTTAAGTGAAAATCATTGTAAACAATTAAATGAAACTAATCATCATTTACAACAAATAATTCATGATGAAAAAGAATCAAAGAAAAAATTAGAAGAATTACATGCTAATAAATTAATTGAAATAAAAAAAGATTATGATCAATGTCAATTAAATTTAAATGAACAAATTAAATTATTAACTACACAAAAAAGTAATATTGAACAACAATTAAGAGAAATTACTGAAGAATGTACTTCAAGAGGTGAACAAATTGAAAAACTAGGTAAACTTGTTTTACTTTAATGTACATCTATAAATTCGTGTATTTAAAAAAAATATATATTAAACCCGTCTATCGATGGGCATGAGAGAAAAAAATATTTAAAACGAAGAGTGAATAATGACGTAGAAGAAAAACACAAGATTGTTTCTTTAAATAAAATACGAAAATAAATCTATATCAGAATGATGATTAATTGTTTATCGTGATAAAACATGTAACAGGTTTGAACAAAAAAATGTCAAGGTTTTGAACATCTATATATTGATAAAACTCGTTCAATCTTTGCATTACTCATTATAAACATATTTTGATCCTTGATGGAATTTCTTCTTTAGAATCAACAAAAAATGAATTAAAAATTCTAATGGAAGATCGAGTAAAATCAGATGCTTTAATAAAAACATTAGAACAAGATCGTATTCGTTTACAAACTGAACTTGATGTGGTTAAACGTGATCTTGAAGAACGTAATCGTGATGTACAAAAAGAACGAATACGTATTGAAAATATGATTCGACATGAAGAAGTAAATAAAAAAAACAAAAACAAATTTATTTTACAATTTTGAATTCTTTTTTGATTTTTGATTTTATAGAATTATCAATCAAAACAAAAAACACTTACTAAATCACATGAAGAATTATCAAATGAGTGTGAATCATTGAAGTAAATATTCATTGTTTCATTCTAAATCAAACAGAAATTATTATTCTTGTAAATTAGAAAAAAAATAACAGAATTAGGAGTTGAACGAGATGAATTACAAAAATCATTTCAAATAATTCAACAACAACAACAAAAGCAAACATCTTCAGATAATACCAAAGTTCAAGCATTTATGGAAACACATAATCATGTTTTGCAAGAAGTTACTTCTCTTAAATCAAATATTGAACAACTTCAACAACAAATTCAACAAATGACTGAACGCGAGAAAATTTTATTGCAATACCCTGTCTTAAATGGACCTAATCAAAATACATCCAGTAAATTATCTATATATTATTCTCAGTCTTATTATATCTTTTTTGTTTGCTTTTGTAGCAACAAATAATTTCGTTCATGATATGCAAAATCAAATGCGAACAAATGAGTCTCGTATTGATTCATTACAAAAACAAAATGATTCTTTAAAATTTTCATTAGAAAAACTTCAACTTACAAATAATCATACTAATCCATTGTTAGTAACAGAAGAACGTTATGAAAAATTAAGAAATCAATCAAAACAAGAACAATCCTATCGTCAATATTCACATGCAAATGAAACATTACCATCAGTAAATAATAAATTTAATTTCAGATATCAAATCTAAGTCTAACAATATTCAAATGGAATTTTGAAATGAAGATTACTAGGATAATTAAGTTTATACATTTAGAGAAGAAATCATCGTATTCGACGAAAATTTATCGAAAGTCAAAGGAACATGGAAGTAGTATTGCGAAACGGAAAATCTTCGAACTTTTCCAATGAGTTACGACCATATTCTGCTGGAAAGAACAAAAATTAGTTGAGAGCCACAGAAAGCCTTGCGGTTCGGAATACTAGTTACATGTTCCATTGATTTCCGGTGATTTTCTACCAGAGCCGACGCGTACTTCTTAACCTTGGGTACCTACATACATTCGAAAGACATTATTTTTTACAATATTTTTCTAGTTTTGATACTTTTCCTTTTGACCTTCTTACTACAAACTATCAAAAACACTTTTTTATTATAGTCATATCTTAGAATAGGCACAACGAAACAATTTGAATCTTTCATAATAAATGATTCTTACGAAAGTTTACCTATGCGCAAAGTTTCCAATTGAAATTCCAAAATCAGTGTTTTTGAAGGGAATCATGGTATTGAGTCAAAAATAAATCCAATATATCGGCGGCAATAGATTGAGGCCCTCAATCAAAAGTGATTAATTCACAGAAGGTACCATGTTCGAGTCGCGACACTCCTACTCATGGTATGATTTTGTTCAAGTCATCCATCCAATAGCATGTTGACTACTCTATGCTATAACATCGTTTTAACATTGATCATTAAAAACTTTTTTAAATGTATGAATATGAGAATTAAAAATTTAAAAGTAATTTTAGAAACCAAAACAAACACCACTATGGTTATTAAATAATGAAATACTCGAACAACAAGCTTTTACAGACACAAGGTAAAATTAATTCAAATCGAAATAATCTATTCTATCTCTTGATTATAGATTAACAACAACAAAAAATGACATTCCACATTTGAATGAAAATGAATATGCTGAAAATAGATGGATTAAATCAGATCAAGATGTAAATATTGAAACATTATCTCAACAGCATCATCATTTAGGAACAACATCTTCTACACGTATTCATTCAACGTATTATTAAACTTTTATTTAAATATAAAATAAATTGTTTTTGTTCTTCAGGAATCTTGTAATACGAACTGAATCTCGTCCGCCAATTATAAATCTTTCATCTCAAATTTTAAATCATAGTCGAACACCTTCTATTCCTTCACGATCGAATCATGAAATGACCATTGGTTTGTTATGTGTGAATTTATTTCATCTTACAAAAACAAAAAATTCTTTTTTTTTCTAGGCAGAGGTCGATTGACGCCATCAAATCGTCCATCAACTTCGAACGAACGTACTCGACGAGATAGTTCATTACAGAAAAATTCTCGAACTATATCCTCAGCTAAAACACAACGTTCATCAACTAATAATATCATACATCGATGTACGACTTGTAATAAATCATATGATGATAAACGAAATTATGAATTACATAAATTATATTGTAGGACTTAAATTCTATGATGTATTTGTTTGCATTTTTATGGAAAAAAAAAGAATGCACATAATTGTTTTTTTTAATGAAATAAAACAGAAAGTGAATGAACAAAAACAGAATTTCAATCTACATTATTTAGTGGAATGATTATGAAATGAATAAACATGAAAAAAAAACACATCTGACTTCTATTTTGATCATGATACATATAAATTTCCTTTAGCAATGGTTTGCTCTGATAAAAGTGTTTGCAGACATGATGGATTACCAGCATGACGAAGAAATGGATGATCAAGTAAATCAATAGCTGTTGCTCGTTGAGATGGATCACGTACTAAACATCGACCAAGAAAACCTTGTAAAAGTGATGAAGTCTTAAAAAAACATAATCGGATAACATAATAGAAAAACAAATGTATTGGTGTGTTTTCTTTACTTTATGAGGATTTTTTAATTTTGGTGGAGGTTGATCACGAATTTTACGCATTGCAGTTAATGGTTGTTCATTGAAATATGGTGGTTCACCATCAATCATTTCCATTACCTGAAATAATAACATATATTTATATATATTTTTGGTTTCGACTACACCGGTGAAAATGGTAAACGCATGATAAAACTATGGTGATCTCAGATTTATTTCGACTTCTTCGGTTGGCAGAGAGGTCTATTTCACGGCAATAGCTGAATTTTATAAAACATGACTAAACTGTAATAATTAACCTTAGGACCTCTCCAAATGTTGAATTGCTTCTTAACCGAGATGATGTTCATTTGATGAGTGCTAGAAAGTATTAGAAGAGTCTGGATGGCTTGATACTGAAGGCTTTTCGTTATTGAGATATCGCTATTGTATTGAGTTTTTCAACAGAAAGCTGTAAGTCATTTAGAAAATTGAGTTTCGATGTCAAACTTTGTACAAACAAAGCTCTTATAAAGATTATTTTATTGGACAAGTTGTGACTTCTCTAATATTTTTTATCCTTAGATATTTAATATTCTCTCATGTATAGAAGAAAATGTTGTTCATCTTCAGAAATGAAATACTAGAAAAGTCAAAACTTGCACAGACAACTAATCTCACGAAGACCTTTGCTCATGCAAAGTTTGAAAAATCCAGTAAAAATTTGATATCTCGAGAGTGAAGCCATTGAAGACTTTTTTATTCCTGACTTGTACTCATCAAATGAGTGTCGTCTTCATCAAAAAGCGATTTGACACTTAAACAGATCTGCTCGTAAGCATTCCTTGAACGAAAAAATCGAATGCGGAGAATTTCGACAAATCTGATATAGATTCAGATTCCTGGGCCCCGGAAACTTTTATTCTATTTTTAGAAAATTGAGCTATTTTGTTGAAATGACCTCTGCGAACGAAAATCTTTGTGCTATTATCATGCATACACCATCACTGTTGTATTTCATTTTTTTTTATCAATAAATAGTTAAAAATTAATACATCGTGTATACCTATTTACATATGAGGATTAACTTGTTATCTTTGAGAAAGATTAATAATACATATTGTAAATGTAAAGAATCGTAGGTCATCGAGAATTTGTCCTGAGATCAATAGACTTTAACGAAAGGATTAAAAAACGTTTCGACAAAGAATATGATAGTCAGATAGAATATAACTATATGAGAATTGTTGCAATGTTGCAAAATAAATTCATTATTAAAAATTCTATTGGTATCATCGAAAAATAACTTTCAAAACGGTTCATAAAATAATTAACAATTATTTTCAAAGAGAACGAACATTACATATGAGTATAAATACGAATGTTTAGTGGACTTAAGGGTGAAAGAATACGATACCAGTATATTGAAGTGCAACACTTCACTCATATATTATCTTAAGTTATTTGTGCTTTCAAGCACTGAAGTGACGCTTTTTTCCTCTTGAGTCAACTATTATAATTGAGTATGATGTCATATACGAGAGTAACAAGTAGCTGATTTGAAAAATCTTCATAATCCATACAATGTGTCCTTATTTTGTGGCTTCTGTTTGTTGTAGTTTTTGTCTTTACAGGAACATTTTGATAAACTTCAAAGGTGAATGCCAACATTCAACTATTGTTTACCAGCGAGATGGTCTAAGAATTCATACTATGGGACAAATCTTCATTTTTAATATCCTAATCTCATTCTCATGTGATGTTGTATGTTACTGAATCTCATGTCTGCAAATTCACAATGTCGAAAAGAAAGACAATATAATTTATGATAGACTAATGGATAGGCAACATATATGGAAAAACTCAAATCATGTCGCTCCTTTGACGATTAAATCATCTAAGAAATTTCTAGCACTATCATCACTTGTTCCAACTCGAAAATATTGTTTATTGAAACAATTGTTCAATATATTTGAAGAGAGATTTTATATAATTAGAAGGATGAAATAACTCTAGATTGCTGCATATCAGACAATAAAATAGACAAGCGCGAAGAATATTTTCACCATACATGTAATTAATGATTACATGAAGTTTCAAATTTTGAAATTTTTATGGATGAGATATCAGAGAATCTTTATTCTTAATCAAAAACCTACCTAACAACTGAACAGTCAATATGTTTATCCTTTAGAAATGAAACTTTACCAGTTTGTTAATAATTTGGAAAATTCATAACTTGCACATTAACTCCCTTCAAATATTTTATTTCTAACCCTAGTTTATCTAATCATCAGATTTTCAATCGAATAGATTTTTTTTTATAACTTAAGAGTTTTTCTTCATAAGATTACCATCGTCTGTTTTAGCTATATGTCTGTAACATTATGACTAACTTTAAGAAAGCAGTTTTTTATTTATTGTTAAATATATAGTGTCATAATTTACTTACCATAATACCCAATGACCAAATATCAACTTCAGTTGAATATGGTGTTCTTGAAATAACTTCAGGACTCATCCAATAAGCTATAAAATCAAATGAAACGAAAATTTAAAAAAAACTGAACATTCAAATTTCAAAATTAAAATAATTATTCATACGCGTTCCAACTAATGATTTTCTTTTAATTGTCTGTGCTTTTTTCTCATTCATAACTTGTGCACAAAAACCAAAATCACTTAATTTAACAAAACCATCTGTTGAAAGTAATATTGAATCACTTTTTATATCTCGATGTATAACACCATTCGAATGAAGATAAGCTAGTGCTTTAAGTACTGATTTACAAACAGTTGCAATTTGTTGCTCATTCATTTGTGTTTCACCTGTGGGTGTTACAAGTAAATTAGTTAATGCACCACCATCAAGATATTCCATGACAACCCATAATTCATTATCAACTAAATATGAACCATACATTTCAACAATATTTGGATGTTTATAATCACGCATAATCATTACCTAAAATTTTAAAAAATAATTAACTCAAATAAACTATCTGCAAACAATTCGAAGCGTAAGATTAGAATTGGTGCTCATATTAATATTTAGTAGAATTAAGTTGAAAAAAGCTTCATTACTTCGTCATTGGTGTTATAAAAACAAGGACTCAATAGTCGACTTGTACTCCTTATCAGACCTTCGCATACAGATATCATAAATTTACCTTTATGATTCTATAATTGTCAAATAGAATTATAATCCCGAAAACCAAAAAAAATATTTACTTCATTAAATAACAGTTCTTTTCGTTGTTGTTTAGTTATATTCATTTGTTTAATAGCAACTTGTGTACCATAATGTTTATCAATAGCTATGTAAACATTTGCTGTTGATCCTTCACCAATTTTAACAAAATGATCATACATTGTACGAGGATCTGACTGGCTAACAACTTTTTGTAATGCAAAAACGAACTATTTAAGAAAAAAACAATGAATGAAATTAAACTTTTGTTATTTTTATTTTTATTCTTGATACATACATCTTCAAGTGATAATTTTGTATTTCCATCAATTTTTTCTCGAGTTGTAACAACAGCAGGTGATGTTGCTTGTTTTATTTTTCCATTTGATGGAAGTATTAATTCATTCTGATAATTTGGAACTGATGGTTTACGATTGTCAGTAGATGAATCAAGTGATTTAATATTATAGAGACGATCAAGATGAGTATTACGTGGAATTTGTATGAGTTGATTATGAGAATGATAAGTATAATCATTGGACATTTTAGGTGGAGATGTTTGTCGATGATTAGTTAATGTTTGTTGACTTGATCCTGAACCACGAACAATTGTTTGAGACTAAAAATTAAAATATTTCGATTTTTTTTTAATAAAAAATTTTCAATAAAACAAACTTTGAGATATTCAAGATCAGATGGTGTTAAAAAACAAGGATCACCAATTAATGGTTTTGGTCGTGGTTGTTGATTTGAATATTGTTGTTGTTGTTGTTGTTGTTGCTGTTGCTGTTGTTCTCGTTGTCTTTGGCGTTCATATGCAGCAATAGCTGTTCGTGATATATCTTCATCTGTTAATATACTTGTCCATTGTGGTGGTAAATCTTTTAATGTCTGACTATTTATATCAAAATATGTCTTACGAATATGTTGAAAATCAGTCGGTTTTGAAATTTCTGGACGTTTTTTACGTTTAAACACCATAATTTTCAATTTAATATATCTGAACAAAATATCTGATTGTTGGTCGATAGAAGAAGAAGAACAAGAAGCAAACAATATGTATTAGACAATGGCAAACATTTACAATGACCATGATTGGCTATTTCATTTCAATACATTGAACTTTATAAGATGTCAGTAGTCGTAAGAAACTTCTAAAAATGATTGTATTTATATATAAAAAAAAAAATAAGAAATAGAAACAGTTCGAAATTAGAATGAAACTTGTCGTATTAATCTATTTTCAATACTCTGAAATTTCATACAATTGGGGACCATTTTCTGACGATATGCATCGATGAGATTGGTCTTCACAAGAAAAGAGAGAGTAACAATGCGATTATATATTTCTTTAAGTTGGTTTTTTAGCACCGATTCCCATCTATACAATTTATTAGATATTTTTAATTCAAATTTTAAATCTTTAGCAATGTTGATACATTTTTTCATATAACATGGTTTTCATGCTTAGGGTATATCGAAAATACAAAGGGTTGTAAGTAACAAAACTTCCCATGAACTGAGCTTGATTTAGAAGATTCGTCTCATAAGCTAACAATTTTGAATTAATCTAGCCCACATACGAAGCAGATAGTTTGTAGACATTCATAGATCGTTCATCTAGTATAATATATTTTCCAAAGATAATTATGTCACCATGTTGTTAAGAGCCACTTATTGTCATTGACCAGTGTTTCATTTCATGAATTAAATTATAATTTATTTCATGTAATCAAGCATAAGATAACTTCTCTGAACGAAAGTAAATTGAAAAGAACAAAAGAATACTGATACTGATCAGAAGTTCTGAAGGGATGGGCTGGGCCTAAAAAAGTTGACTCATTGATTATCTATTGTGAATCAGTCTAGTCTATTAGAAGCTCTGGTCGATATAACACGACAGAAACAAGCCAATATAGTTCTTGTTTTCGTAAAATATTCGAAGCAATAGTCCTGATTATTTACACTTCATTTTATTTGTTGAATCTATTTATGAGAAGAAATGATTTAATAATCTCTTTTCAATAATTATATTATTTTGATTACAATCAAGAAAACAATTTTACGTTTCTTTACTACATAAGATTGCTTTACAAAAATTAAATAATTCACAATCACATACTACGCAGTTCAGAGAGTGAAATCACTCAGGGCATACAAAAAGTGATGACGTCGACATTAATGAATCGTATGGAAAGCTCGAAGAAATTTTCTTTCTGCATATATACTAATAGCCAAAATCGACGTTTAAAATTCTACAGTATTCCATCTTACACATAAGATTAACGTTTAATTAAGAATAAGTATTAAGCAATTACCAAGTAAAATCAGCAGAAAAATTACTATTTATATCACGTTTGTTTACATAAACAATCCTATGAATTTCTAAGTTAGAATAATCTTTCTGCAGGAACTTACTATTATGAAGAGTAGAAAATATTTACGAATTTCATTAAAAATAACCCGTCAAATTTCATAGAGAAAAAAACGAAAAATAGCAACATAGATTCATATAAAAGAACGAACGAAATACATAAGGAAATACTCAATTAGATAAATGTCTAGAGGGAAGATTAATACGTAAGAAAATATAATAGATGCTATTCATTTTGATTTATTCAAAGCAATTAAACAAACAATATGACCCGTATACGGTCGTATAACAGGAAACTACAGCATTGCATACGGTGCTGCATTACTTTGCTCAAAGTTACGAGAAAATACAGTTCGTTTACATACTATATGATGCAAAGTTACAGCGAAAATACAGATAACTGTATCCGTCAACCTGGGAATGGATTGTTTTTTGATATCACTTATTTTTCTCTTCAAGATATCAGATTTGGGAAGAGAAATAAAAACTATGAATCAGCAACTTGATGTGTTTTTAACTTCAGTATATCGAGCAATTGATAGTTATGAATTCGATGATGCTATTGATTTAATAAGACAAGCAAAAGTGTTCTATGAAGACATCATTGATACGATGGATGAATTACAAAAGAAAAAAAAGCAAACCCTAAATGATTATCATAAATATAATCAATAACAATGATCGACAAATAAACTTATTTCATCATTTTTTTATCGATCTTAAAATAGTAATACAAAATGGATTTAAGGAAAATAAAATAGAGACAATAGCCATAAAGAACTAGGAGAGAAACTTTATAGTTATATGCAAGCTAAGAGAAATTATTTGACTTCGCGATATACTTGATGCAAATCTTCGTTAGCTGAGTTCAATCTTACAATGGATGGTGTTGTTTCTATATAATTGATAGTTGTAGAGTAAACTAAAAATCATCTTCATTATGTAATAATATAATAAATTATGTAACTGTTTGAACATCAAAAACAAATTCAATACAAGACGTTGTCGGGTTGGTGGAATGAGATCTGGTTGTTGTTTCTTTAGATTTACATCTTTTATGAAATATTAATTTTGAATTTATTGAAGATTGTGTTACATACTAATATTGAAATCAGAGAATGTCGCAAGGCCTGTGTTCGGCATGATGGAATTAAAAAAGCATCGTACAGAAATAAATGAGCTATACAAAAAATTTGAGATCTACAGAAAGCTTGATGCAACGCTTATTCGTCAGTCGTATAGCAAGACATGATATATTGGATTGTACCTCATATTTATAAAAGCTTTATATCTTTCTAAAGTAATGCCATGAAAAACTTGTACTGCAAGCAGAATGCAGGTCGACTTTTTGTCCTACCAAGACGAACTTTTTAATGTCTTACCATACATGTTGCAAAGCAAGATAGCTGTGTGATGATGTCCTGCAGGACAGGATGAAAAAAGTCTTGTGACGTTCTCTGATGGAATTAGCATAAAAACTTGTTGCACTTCGACCAGCTATAGAAGCATTGATTATATTGCAAATTGTCTACAATCGACCGAACAACTATGTAATCTAGTTCATCTAGTATCTGATCAACAAGTTGAATATGTTTGATGTGAAAAATTACAGAACATAAAGGAGCAATACAATCTACAATTTCGAATTGTAAGTGAGAAATGGACTTTTGTTGATGTGCTCATAATATAAAAATCAATACGAAATATTCTTCTAGTGAATCTTCTTCTGAGTATCCTCATAATCAACTATTTCCATCGAATATAGCACATCATTAGAGATCCTTTTATGAATTGATTTAATCGTCCTTTCAGTAGATATAATTATCGATGTAATAATACGTAGTAACAAGAATATCGATTACAGAATAAATAATTTTAATCAGAAACGTTACCACTTGTTATTACAAACATTTCACCATCATTTGCTAATTAGCGACAATTTAATAATGCATATTGTTCATCAGGACCAGCTACTTTTCATACAACATCACCGACATCGTCTTATCAACATGGATGGATTAACAATAATGGTGGCTATTCAATCAATTATCGAGATAGTGGTGGTTATAATCGGTTTCCAAAACGAAGACTACCTTATATTTATTAAAACAGACTTGTTCATATCTTTTTTGTAATTATATTTCGACTTGTGTTGTTATTTATGTTAAAAATAACTTTCCGTACACAACTAAAATTATTAATAAAAACAAATTATCTGATTGCATTTAAAGCAGTGAACATCAATCACAGGTCAGTATATTTTCTTCATGCTCAGCAACTTTTTTATATGCGGTGAATATGAGCTTTTAGCATTTTCTTCTAATATTTATATTATCTGATCATTTCAAGGAGCAGAGAGTATTGTTTAATAAAAATAGCTTCTTTATAATTTTAGTTATTTGATTATCAAAGTGATCAGTAAGCATTATCTGATTAAAAGTCTTTTCTCATTAAAATCATCTAATAGTTTCTATGAAAAATAACGATCAGTTTATTAAAAAAGTTATTTTTTTTTGTTCTGATTGTGTCATCGAATCATTGCAACGAATTAAAAGAACTTTTGCATCACAAAAAACTTTTTTTAATATTACTTACTGCGGATGCCGAGACAAATGATTTTTCTCCTCATTAACGATGGTAGTGCATACGTTCAGACATATCCATAGTCGTAGATCCAAATACTACAACTAGATGGAATCATTGGAAGTGATAGTTGAACAGTCACGATTTTATCTCAAAATCGACAAAAATTGCAAGTTTCATTAATTAATTAGACTAATATATCGCGATTGAATTGCCTATGTTCCGCCACTTTGATTACATGCGTATCATAAAGTTGGTTGTTATCTACTTATTTCATATTTTTGCATTTCTTTTTTTCTTACATTATACGAAGAAAAGCCAATAATTCGACCCTCAAGCCGACGATCGTCTACAAAGTGAAAATGTTGTGAGAAGCTTTATCGTTGGGATTTGAGCGCATTTTTGATGTCCAGCTTATCTAACATTTGATAAGTAACACTAAGCTGAAAAAGTTCATTTAATTTATGACTATCACCTTTCAATTTATATTTCTCATCAAGCTCAGCGTATTTGTCTCAGTGCGTATTGTGGAACTCATACATATTTTCAAAGAAAAAACAATGGATGTGAGTTTTAAGTAGAATTTCCGCGGTTTTCCTCTCCCCCACCCCTCTGTTACAGATTTCTTTCATTCCGAACAACATCCCATTACAGGCTTTAGCAATCGATAGTAATAGGTGTCAGTTTTTCTAAAGTTGTTTTTCGAAATTGATCATGTTATACAGTTGAAAAATTATGAATACTATTGCTTGGATATTGATTCATGCATATAATAGTGCAAGATATCTTTATTTAAAAGAAACGAATTCAAAAAAGTAAAAAACAATAAGAGAATAGCAACAATACAAAAAAAAACCTGCGACACTCGTAGAAAAAATAAAAAAAACTTCTAGTCGAAGTTTAGAAACGAGAGATGTCCTTTTACTTTGATGATCCATTACCTTGCAAAACAACTACAGTCTACAAGAGACTTTTCAATTCACGTAGTTTATATTATTTCAATGAGGGTAACCAGCATATGTAAGTTTCACATTTCAACCCTCAAAGAGCTCTGCTGACAAACATTTTTTATTTAATCGTACATGTCAGGTAACACATGCTTCATGCTTTATCTATACATCTCAGAACGAAAAAAATTGCCTTGCATTGCTTGATTACATATGCCTTTTTGATTAATTACCAAGCAGAGAAGATGACAAAATATACGCATGAATAGGCAAGGAACCATTCCAAATCGCTTTGTAGCGAGGTAATTTGTCATGCTTCTCTAATATAT